ATCACCCCGACTCCTCCTTCCGGGGGTGATGTTTTTCTACCATTCTGGAAGACATGCATGAGGAGCTGTGCGATCTTCACCCGTCATTCCTCAACTCTTGCAGATCTTTCCCAACATCACTCACTCACCCTTGCTCAACTTCTCCGATAACCTTCTGGGAGACCGTCTTCATGGATCACCCTAAAGGATTTTTGGGAGAGTTTCCTCCCAACACAGTATGGAAGCTCAATTGCCCTGTCTAGGTCTCAAGCAAGCTCCATGTGAGTGGCACAACAGATTGAAGGACCTCCTCCTCTCATTGGACTTTCACCCGTTGTCCTCCGACGCAAGTCTCTTCATTCGCCATCAATCCGAGCCGTTCTATATCCTTGTCTATGTTGACGACATCATTCTCATCTCCAAGGACTTAGCCCAGACGACTTGAGCAAGGCCCTCCTGATGAAGGACCTTGGTGACCTCAAGAATTACATAGGGATGGAGATCGTTCGTGATCGTTAGGCTCGCACCCTCATGCTCTTACAGTAGTTCTACATCGACAATGTTCTCATGCAGTTTGAGATGAGCTCGTGCACTGCATTGCCACCCACTGCCGCTCCAGCCACACCCACACATAAGGATTGCTCCGAGACTTACCCGGAGCTAGTTGGGCCCTTATGTATGCCATGATGTGCACCCGACTTGACATGGCATATTATGTCAGTGTCCTCTCTTGCTATGTGGCACCTGGACGTTTTACCGAGCTCCACTGGTTAGTAGCGAAGCGGGTTTTGTGCTATCAGCAGGGCACCAAGTCTTATGTTCTCACTCTTGGTGGTCTTTCTCCTCATTGACTAGAGGGCTACAGTGGCTCCTCTTGGGCAGATAACCAGACAGACCGACACTCCTCTTAGGGCTACTGCTTCACCCTTGGTATTGGAGTTGTTAGTTGGCGCTCCACCAGGTCCTCTGTGGTCTCCCTCTCATCATGTGAGGCGGAACTGTATGTCGGGACTATGGCTGCCCAGTAGGCTCGTTGGCTCTCCTTCCTCCTCCAGGAGCTTGTCTACCCTCAGTCCACACCCACCCTATGGTGTGACTACCAGAGTACCATCCACCTCTCCCAGGATCCTGTGTTCCACACTCGCACCAAGCACATCGAACTTCACCACTTCTTCATTCGTGACCTTGTTCAGTGTGATGAGCTGAAGGTGCAGTACATCGCTTCAGACCGCAACTTGACTGATCTGTTCACCAAACCCCTTGGGAAGATTCCTCACCATCGTCTTCTTGGTGCCATGGGGCTTTGTGCCCCATCTTCTTTGCCTTGGGTTCGATTGGCGTCTATGGGTGGGTGTTAGATTTAACCCTTGATCTCAACTTTTGTACTTGCACTTTCTATATCCTAGCTTCGTGTAGTTTGTACTTTGTGTTGGGTGGGTGTACACCCACAACCCAACCAAACCCAAATGTGATCAACTGAAATTTCCAACCCACCAATTGGCCCCCTGCTCATCGGCCCCTGCCTCGTCGCCCCGTCTGGCACCCCTGCTCTTCCCCACCCATCCCGGCCTTGCGCGTTTACAGCGGCGGTCGCTGTGGGGGGAGGAAGAGGGGAAGGGGGTGATGGCGGGACGTCTGCAGTGACCGCAAGCGCCAGAGCCAACAGCAGTCATCAGCGCCAGAGCCAGCAGCTAGCTGCGAACGCCAGCGCCAGCACCAACCGCGAGCGCGACAGCGCCATCATTTGCGCCCCCGCCAACTCCAGCCCACTCTTCGCCCCCTTCTCTGCCGCGCTCTGCCACGGAGGACGTTTAGGGGGGGGGGGAGGGGTGGTGGGAGTGGCGGCCGAGGCTGAAGGATTACTCAAGCCTCCTTGATCCCCCCCCCTCCCTTTCCTCCTTGCCGTTGCAGCTGCACCTGGTGTGCCGACCGCGGACAGCAGCGACATCAGCGCCAGCCGCGTCGGCTAGCGCCAGCCGCTGTGGGGGGGAGGTTGAGGGGGTAACGGGAGTGAGCCTGCAGGTGCTGCCCAAACCACCGCCATGCCATGCCTGCCGCTGTGGAGGGGTGGTTGAGGGGGTGGCGGGAGTGAGCCTGCAGCACCAGTCGCCACCCACCTCCCCCTCTCTTCTCTCTCATCCTCCTCACTTGCTCTCTCCTCTATAGTTGCACACTCCTCCTCTCTCTCTTCCACCTCATCGTCGGAACTCCTCCCCCTCCTCCTCACTAGTACTCATTGACTAGCCTTGTGGTCCTTTGTCTCAGAGGATGGGCTAGTAGTACCGCTCTGAGTTGTACCTCATACTCTTTGTTGTTCTTGCTAACTGACCCTGTGGCCTCTTGCCTCAGAGGCTGGATTACTAATGCTGCCTTGAGTTGTTGCTCTTCTTCTTGGCACTGCCCCTTACCTAGCCTAGGGGCTATGTCAAAGTACACATACATATATTTGCATGTGTTCTTGTAGGTTAGATTGGGTTGTGCTATAGTGGGTATGGGTTGCTACGTATCCCAACTGTATGCCCCGATTCTAGTCATTCGTTCACTTCTTGACAAAAATTATGGCAACTATTTTTTCCATGGCAGTCAATCAACACATTTCCGTTACTGCTCACTCTCGCTCAACAAACTGAATTCACGTCTTGTCAACATGTATCTTTACTAACAAGCCGTTGACATGGAATCATTCCCAGTCAACGTGCGTGATATTTTGAACAGCGTACCCCTAAGTCGACTCAGTTGGGTTCGCAAAGGCAAGAGCTGCATTTTGGGTTTTTTTTTTTTCTTTACTTTTTTAATTCTTCATTTGCCTTTTTATTGTCCCTGAGGGAGATTGTGCTATGCAAAACATTTGCGAGAAACCCGTTTCAGCACCATAACTTTCAAGATCAGTTCTTTCTACTTGTTGTTAGAAAATATACTTTATATGTTTTCATATAACTGCCTGCTAGTGTAGCTATTGTGAAGTGTTACAACTGTTGCATACCTTTGCCTATGCCTATTTGTACTTCCACTTCTCTTAGTGAAGCTCTCTTCCGTTCACCCTCGTGACCATCTATGCTCCTAGGCTAGGGTTTCTCCTAAGCATATGTAGTTCCTACTTTAACATGGTATCGGAGCAGTAAAAGATCCTAAGGACCTACCCTTTTTTTTTAAGGCGTGGCTGCTGCTGCACCTGCGCTTCCTTTAACGAGTGACCGTCGCGACCTGTTGCGCGACGGTCGTAATGACCAGCGCGAAAGCCATGGCGCGCTTCGCGCTGGCTCCGTTTCGTCCCGCTCGTCACAACTCGTTTCGTGGCGTTTGTCGCGTCCCTTGGCGCGACCTTCGTCACGCCCTTGGCGTGTCCCGCCCGTCGCCCCCCTCTTCTTGCACCCTGCCACGCCTCACCGGCGGTTGCTGCTGTGGGGGTTAGGTGGCGGGGACGGGGGGCAGAAGGTGAGGGGGTGGCGTGACCAAGCCGGCAGCACCAGCGCCCCGCCCATCTTCTCTTCTCTCTCTCCTGGCCACGCCTGCTGCCGTGGGGGGGAGGGTGTCGGGGTGGCGGGGACCAGGCAGCCGCCCCTCTCCTTATTTCTCCTTATATCGCTTCTCTGCGCGTCGCGTCATTTCAACTCCTCCACACCGAGCATCCACTGCAGGGGTTGAACCGCAGGCGGGCACCTGCCGTGGGTGCCAACCACGGTAGTCCCAGCTGCGGCTCGGTGACTGCTGCTCGTCAGCTTGTGAGGGGTTTTACTCGTGCACCCCTTCAAGGAGTGTTCTGCACATTGGCTTCCACTGCAGGCAGTTTGGGGGTGTGTTAGAAAATATATTTTATATGTTTTCATATAACTGCCTGCTAGTGTAGCTATTGTGTAGTGTTACAACTGTTACATGCCTTTGCCTATGCCTAATTGTACTTCCACTTCTCTTAGTGAAGCTCTCTTCCGTTCACCTTCATGACTATATATGCTCATATATTAGGGTTTCTCCTAAGCCTAGGTAGTTCCTTTTTTAACAGTTGTATACAAAATCAGAGCGACAATCCAACGATGAATCGACACAATCTAATGATCAATCGGCAAATCATGCTGAATTTCAACGCGAAAAAAAAATGATGCTGTACCATCTCGATAACCGATCTGCACTGCACAGCATTTGCGACTAGCGGTCGTTCGTCAATTTCTACTGTCATAAAATCTGATGAAACATTCGACGATGAGGCGAAATCAGGGTGGTAATGTCGTTATCAAAATGTGTTGTGTCTATGGCCGATATGTTTGATATATTTTGCAATTTGGTTAAGGTGCAAGCTAACAGATATGCGGAAGAACTGAAGAGGAACAGAGCTACAGCGCCAAGCGAAGAGGCATAACACGGATATAAACGAGATGCCTGTTAGAGTCGGAACATTCATACTCGACCCACTGGATGGAGAGGTAGCCCCGACAAAGGTTTCACGCTGAGATGAGATGTTTCAGGCTATACGACGGTCAAATTAGTTTTTAAATCGGTATCTAGATTGGTATTGAGCAATTAGGAAATGTAAATGACCCGTCATAAACCCTTCGTGCGGTGGAACCGACGCAGCGCACCATCACGTTGTCCCAACGGTCTTTTCGACTGCTTTCACTCAGATTTATCACCGCATTTCTAGGCGTTTCAGAAGTAGGATTCTTAGGTCAATCGTTGTGCGACGCAGCTCTGACCAGAATGCATTACCACGCCCGAGCCGCTCTGGCTCCTCACACTGTCGCGTTGACACGACAGTGCGGCTCCACAGGGAACTCCCGACTGCTTCCTTTAGCTCAGCCCAGATGATCAACCCGGCCCACTTTTGCCGCCGCGTTTGGCGCCGCTAGTATCGTCGCCGTCAATCGCGCCAGCTCGGAGGAGACACGTGGCAGCTCGAGCAGCATTGGACGACGTATTCTAGGCCGTAGGAGTGGGTGAGTCGTCGAACACGTGTTGTGTGGCGTGCTGGCTGGAATGGTTGATTTCTATCATTACTGGAATGACCTTAGAGGAAACTCAAACATCATATGTGCTTCTCTCCGCAGCTTCTCGCTGCTGCTTCTCTCCGCGGCTTCTCGCTGCTGCTTCTCTCCGCAGCTTCTCGCTGCTGCTTCCCTCCGCGGCTTCGCGCTGCTGCTTCCCTCCGCTGCTTCCCTCCGCTGCTTCCCTCTGCTGGCTTCTTCTCACTACCGCTTGTCTGCATCCTTCATGTTCCATCTCTCCACTTCCCTTCCTCGACCCCCTCTCGCTCCCGTCCCCCTCCCGTCTCCCTCCCCTCTCCCTTCCCTCTAAAAAATGGTGAAATGCGGTGGATTGGTTGTATTTCGGTTGCGGTGTAGCTTTCTAGCAAAGGGCTGAAAGTGTGGGGATGGTGAATGTGGCTGGTGATTGGGATGGGTACTCTGAATTGTAAGGGGGAAAGTGTGGTAGGTCCTCTCTCCCTCCCCTTGCCCTCTCTCTCCTCTCTCCCTCTCCCTCCTTTCTCCCTCTCCTCCTCTCCCTCCCATCTCCCTCCCCTCTTTACTCTCGCTCCTCTCTCCCTCTCCCTCCCCTCTCCCTCCTCGCTTCCTCTCCCTCCCCTCTCCCTCCCCTCTCCCTCCTCGCTTTCTCTCCCCCCCCTCTCCCTCCTCGCTTCCTCTCGCTCCCCTCACGCTCCTCCTCTCTCCCGAATGGTCCTTCATCGATATAGGCATGGTTGATACAGCAAGGTTTATATATAGGGAACAGGGATGCACATGGCGAGCAAACGTCCTACCAGCCTAGCTCCCTACACCGTGCCTCTAGGCCGCGGGTGCCCCTCCTTCAAGGGTGTGCACGAGCTTCCCAATGCCCAGGGGCTCTGAGACGTCTCAAAGTTTTGAGATGTCTCAAAGTTCCCCGATGCCCAGGGGCTCGGGGGAGTGGTGTACCGCCGTTGGTGCCGCCACGAAGGCAGCATGGGTCCTGGAGATGAGGGCGTTTGCCTGGGCCCTTTGTAGCGTGCCGTGCACGAATACTGCTGCCTGTAGAAGAAGAAACGAATTTGTCGGCCTCCAGCGAGGTAGGTTCTGCCAGCCTTGTGTAGGCGTTTGACCGCAAGGTCGGTCGGCGCAGCGGCGGAGGTGGGTGAAGAGAAGAGAAGACGCCCGGCGAGCAGCAGTAGTCGTGGGTGTCTGCCCTGCCGCCATTGCGAGGAGGCCCACCCACTCTGGTCGGTCGCGGTATCTTTGTTCCTTTGCCCGCGCTGATGTTGCTGTTACGGCCCAACCCACCCCCCGACGCGCTGTGGGGTCTTGGGGAGAGATGGGGTCCGTCCGTGACGGTGACGTGGGATATAGGATCCATACCGCGCCGGAGTCGGGGTGGCGGATTGCGATTTCCGCCTTGAGTCCCTCCACAGGTGTGTAGAGCGTTGTCTCCCGTTGCGCAGCGAATCTTGCGCCTGCTGCAATTCTCGTGCACTCGTCACGGAGGGCGTTGTGAGTGTCCGAGCGCCCCTTTCCTGTCCCGCAACGTAGCAAGTGGTTGGATAGTCTTGTGTCGGTGATAGCTATCTGGTCGCGGCAGTCACACGCTCCTGGCCCAATGAGGGAGAGGAGCCGCTGCGTATGTCCCATCAATGGGTTCGGGGTCATAGCACGGCTTTGCTCCAGCAGCTCCCCACCCCATAGCGGGCTGTGTGAACCTGGAGGGAGAGGGCGTGCTGACATTTGAGTCGACACAAAAGACACTTCGGGGTCATGGCACGGCTTTGCTCCAGCAGCTCCCCATATCGGGTTAGCGGGCTGTGTGAGCCTGGAGGGCGAGGGCGTGCTGTGCCTTGAAGATGTCTGTGCCGTGCCCTCCCGGAGTCGCGTGAGTCGGGGATGCAGGTCATCGCTAGAGGGCGAGGGCGTGCTATGCTGTGCCTTGGCCCTTGAAAATGTCAGTGCCCTTCCGGAGTTGCGCGAGTATGGTAAGTGCTTCTGAGGGAGTGTTTGCTCCGCTGCTGCAAGGCAGGTTTTAAGGTCGGTCGGCTCCAGCTTGGGGTGTCTCTGAGTATGGGTCGAACAGCGGCATGAGCGCCGCAAGTCGAGGATGCAGGTCATTGCTGGGCAGTGACACCTGCAGCCAGGTACGCTCCCGTTCACTGCTGAGGCGTGGCCGTGGTACCGAGGCTGCTTCAAGGACGGCCTTGAAGTTCCCTTCCCCCCATGCCGAGCCCACCACTCGCTGCTGGGTATGGTGCCTGGCGACGTCGTCCTGAGTAAGTAGCTGATTCGCCCGCTCACGCAGCGGCTCACGAGGAGGAGGAGGCTCACGAGGAGGAGGCAGCTCACGAGGAGGAGGCAGCTCTGGGGGTCAAGCGGCGCCAGGAGCTGCGTTGGGGATGTTGATGTTGACAGGCGCTGGCGCACGAAGGAGGCGTAGTCCGCTGGTGGGCCTACTGGGCTGCCCAGGACCCCCTGCAGCCCTGACCCGCTGTAGGGGACTCCTTCCGACAGCGAGAGGTGTCGTGGTGGGAGGGGGGGGACCAGGCAGCGCATTTGCCGGGGTTGTGTGATAGTCCCAACTGGCGAAGCGCACATGTGAGCGACTGGAAGGCAAGGCGGCAATGTAGTCCGCAACGCGACGGGTCCCAAGATGGTAATGTCGTCGGTCGGCACACTCGAGTGTAACGACGTCCGTGTGATTCGCGACCACACCTCTGAGGGTGGGCTGGATTGCAGCCACGAAAAGGAGGCGACTATTGAGGCATCTCAAAATTCACCTCACCTCCGTGTGATTTGCAGCCACGGCTCTGAGGACGGGGTGAATTGCAGCCACGAGAAGGAGGGGGCCCACCCATCGGGTCCCCTTGGCGTACGCCCCGCTCGTTGCTCAGTGATGGCGCCAAGAAGCCGTGGTCGATGAGGCGGGTTGAAGCACGGCCGTAGGACGTCTTGGTGATGGGGAGGTTGTTGAATAGTGGAATCCAGCAGCGTGTCTCTGAGGCCCTTGAACACAGCTGCTCACTCGACCGCGTTGAACGCATTGGTAATGTCGAGCTGAAGGGCGGGGTGGGAGGGATGCTGCTCCAGGTAAGTCCTGCTGGCGTGGATTATCGCCACGGCCCCTCCCGGTATAGCCACGCCAAAGTAAAGAGGCGCGAAGTACCGCCTGGCCGCTGGTGCCGTGAGGTGGAGCTGATGCCGTGAGGTGGAGCTGATGTCGTAAGGTGGAGAGCGCTGCTTTGGCAATGATGCGGTGCGGTGCAGGACCTCCCCCACAGCTTTTGAGGTGCCTCAGTGGTGGAGCGCTGCTTTGGCAATGATGCGGTGCGGTGCGGTGCAGGACCTCCCCCACGGCGATGGGCCTCGTGCCTCCTTGTTTTGTGAAGGCTAGGAGGCGGGAGGCAGTTCGGAGGGAGGGAGGCCTCGCCTTCTGGGATTTTCCCCAAGAGTGTTGTGCTGCGTTGACGAGCGCGAAAAGGTGCTCCCCGCCGTTGGGGTGACTTGTGAGTTTACTCAAGAGTCACCTCGATTTTCCCCAAGAGTGCTGTGCTGTGTTGGCGAGCGCAAGAAGGTGCTCCCCGCCGTCGGGGTGGTTGAGAGCCGCGTCGCGGAGGTGCTTGAAGCACATCCCGCTAGGTCCCGCTCGCACGCCGTTTCTGCCTCCCGCTAGGTCCCACTCCCACGCCGCTTCTGCCTCCCGCTAGGTCCCACTCCCACGCCGCTTCTGCCTCCTGCTAGGTCCCGCTCGCACGCCGTTTCTGCCTCCCGCCAGTACCCGCTCGCACGCCGTTTCTGCCTCCCGCTAGGTCCCGCTCGCACGCCGTTTCTGCCTCCCGCTAGGTCCCGCTCGCACGCCGTTTCTGGCTCCCGCTAGGCCCCGCTCGCATGCCGTTTCTGCCTCCCGCTCCCACGCCGTTTCTGCCTCCCGCTAGGTCCCGCTCGCACGCCGTTTCTGCAGCCGATGCAACGCAAGTCCTGGGACGAGATTCCTAGGGGGGTCCCACCAGGGTCGTCTTCTAGCCAAGGAGGTAGGTCTTCTTCGTTGGCTTGGGGGTGGCGATGAGGGCCGAGAGCGTGGAGCTGTTGGTCTCGCCTCGCTGAGCGGAGTTGTTTCCAGGGCGTGCAGGGCCTTTGTGAGGCTCCCTCACCTGACCAAGGTAGTGGCGCGCGCCAAGACGCCTGTGGTGTCTTCGGTGTGGCGGGGTGGTGCAGGTAGGGTGATTGACTGCGTCGCATGCCTCCTGGTACAGTGCCTGCCTGCCAGTCTCCTTGGCGGAAGCGCTGGCAGGAGTCTGGTGGCCATGCCACCCCGACGATCTCGCGGGTTGGCGCCTCCTGGTACAGCTCCTGCCTGCCAGTCTCCCTGGCAAAAGCGCAAGCAGGAGTCTGGTGGCGGCCATGCCGGTCCAATCAGGATTTTGAGCCGAGCCGGCGCGCAAGGTCAGGCGTGGCAGGGAAATCAGGAGGCACCAGCCCGCTAGATCTTCAGGGTGGTGGGCAAGGCGCAGGAGTGGGGTGAGGAGGCATGTGGCGAAGGCGTGCTACTTCAGCCGCTGCTAGCCGCCATGGGAGGGTCGCTGCTGCGTTGGCGTCAGCGTCGAAGAGCGGGAGCAGGTCCGCCACAGATGGGTGCGGTGCGGTGCAGCGAGCTTGTGAGGGATCCGAGCAGGTGGGCGGACGAGATTGCTGCCGCTAGATAGGCGTGGGGTGCTTCCCTCTCACCAGAGGGTCAGTGATTCCGAGCCCTCCTAAGGTGATGGGTTGGGCTTTGCCGCCTGGTCCCAGACCCTCTGGCGATCGTCCGGGCTCCGTGGGATTGCGATGTGGGCGGCGTGCATGAGGCAGTGTGTGAAACAGTCGTTCCCCCTCATGCGGTCCATTCTGCGCCCGCCAGGCAGGTACGGGGGGTGGGTCGGGCCAGGATATGTTTAGGGTTATCTTCTTCAGCCACAACCCAAACTCCTTGCTCAGGAACTCTCCCCCTCGATCGGTGCGGATTGACTTGACTAGACGGTCTTGTTGCCGCTCCACCATCGGGAACCAATCCGTCTTCAACGTTTCAGCCACGTCGCTCTTCTTGGCCAGCACGTACACCCAAGTCATGCGGGTGTAGACGTCGACAATGGTGAGAAAATACTCAGCTCCAGCAGCTCCAAGCTTCAGGGGGCCCACCACGTCCATCACCACCTCATCAAGCGGTGCCTTTGCCGTTGCCTCCGAACTAGGGAACGGAAACCGGGTGAACTTGGCTTGAATGCACGTCGGGCAGCCAAGCACCTCATCGGGCTCCCCCTTCACACGTATGCCAGCAACCATCTCATTCTTCACTAGCTGCTGCAAGATGGGCAGGGCCACATGCCCCATGCGCCGATGCAAGGTGAGCCAATCACACTCCCCCGTAGCCGAAGTTGGATTGGAGAATGCCGCGCTCGCAATAGCGCCCCACATACTCTCTCCGTAGTCCTCCTCCGCTGCTGCCTCTGGGTTCTCCTCACCCTTTTGCTGCTCCTTGGTTGCTGCACCACTCTCCTTAGGTTCACTAAACTTGCTGGTCCCTCCAGGTTTGCTCTTCTTGAGCTCATTCTCCTTAGCGCGACCGTTCGCGCCATCGTCGCTACCGACCGCTCCATCCTTGGTGCTGATGCTTGCTGCCACTTGCCTCTCCTTAGGCATAGGGACCACTGGGATCTGCCACATCTCGTTGTAGACATCCCTGTCCTCATGAAGGTCCCAAAGA